AAAGTATGTATTAGAAGTCACACACAAAGAATTCGAAATAAGTAAAGTAAGATCGTAGAAAACTTTCAACATGCCACCATCTTTCTACAAATCCTTCCAATCATCAATATTAGGTGACCCATCAATATTATCACCATGATCTCCATTAAATTCATTTCTATATAAAAGATCAATTTACTCATATCTCTTAAAAGCTCTCTCAAACTTTTGAGCCGTATCTAACATTAAATATGTTGAATCTCACCTAGTTGCGACATTTAGTTGTAACAAACTCTTAGAATCATTCTTTTCAAATTCAATACATTTCTTAAATTTTGAATAGATTTTATGAATTTAAATTTAGATTTTACAATAGTCGATTCAAAACTTAACGGATTTGGATTAGATTTGGATATCATTTGGATTTATCATTCAATTTTTGTTTAAAAAAAAATGTTGGCTACATTCAAAATTATATTTAATGTAAAATAAGTTTCTACTATTGCATATATAAAAAATATGCTATGATAATATTTACTATGTCACTTTAAAAAAATCAAAAGGTCTCACCATCGAAAGAACAAAATCAAATAACACTAATAAAAAATTCATATTAAAGTTCAAAATTAATTTAAATTAGACAAGAATTATAAAAAAATAATAAAAAAAATTACCCACTCTAAACATAACTTGACCGGTATGGAAAAAAATCATTATATTTTATACATAACAAGTTTGAAATAGATAAAAATTAAGATTGGATTAAGAATTTATAAATTAAAAACACAACTATAATACTAGCAAAAACTCATAAATGAATTGTTTTCATAAATTTATAAGATTTCACAAAAATAATTTGAACTTGAAAAGAGGTGAAAAAAAACTTGTTTAATTTCTTTAAAGAATAACCGTATATGTAGAGAAAAATAAATAAATAAATAAATATATATATATATATATATATATATATATATATATATATATATATATATATATATATATATAATGCTTTTTAGCAGTTACTAGATGGGTACTCGTGTTACGCCGCGGTCGAACACTTGTTATATATGTAACGTTAACGATTCGTATGGTATATTGTGAGTAAAAGTTTTATTTTCGATGATTAATCTGTATTAAATCTATATATTGAGCGAAATCACTTGATTCATATATATATATATTTGTTAATAAAATATTTAATAATATTAGCATAAAAATTTGTGTTTGAATAATTGAAAAGTTCTTTCAAAACATTATGTAACTTATTTTATTTAAAAAACAAATTTTAGAATATAAAAAATAAATAATAAAGAATTGGTATCATATGTGTAGATATATAGTTAATTTCTACTAAAACTAATGATATATATATATATAATAGATTCGAGTATATAAAATGAATAGAAAAATATACAAAAAAAATCCACCTAAATTTTATGAAATATATTGAAGTCAATAGACTAAAAAGAAATACAACAAAATTAACTCTATAAATTCTGAATATATATATAAGAAATGAAACTTGTGAATTTTTTTAAAAAATTGAGCCAAACTATCTAAAACATGCTTTTATCTCTCTCTCTCTCTCTCTCTCTCTCTCTCTCTCTCTCTCTCTCTCTCTCTCTCTCTATATATATATATATATATATATATATATATATATAATCACAATTTATAAATTATAATAATATATTTTTAAAATATAAAACACCAATGTTCTAAAATTTTATTTCAAAATTCATATATTAAAAAAAATTATTTACAAATAAAATTATATCAAAAAATTAATTTGATGGGAATTTTAATAAAAAACAAATAATTAAAGAAATAAATCTTAAACAATAAGAGTAATATAATCAGATATATATGTTCAAACTAAAATCGTAAAAAAATATCATATATATTTTATCATCTTCAAATTGTATGTAAAACTAAAAAATTAACGATTTATTTTATATATTTTTCACAGACTAATTTCATGATAATATATATATATGAAAAAAGAGACTAGGCTTGCTAAATTGTATGAAATATATTGAAGTCAATAGATTAAAATAAAAATTACAATAAAATTGATTCTAATAAATTTTGAATAAATATATATAAAATAGCAAATAAAATTTATGAGTTTCTAACCGATTATTAATTTAAAAAAAAATTAAGCCAAACTATTTAAAATATACTCTCTCTCTCTCTCTCTCTCTCTCTCTCTCTCTCTCTATATATATATATATATATATATATATATATATATATATATATACACACACATATATATATATAATCGAATTTATAAATTATAATAATATATTTAAAAAAACTGACATTCTGAAATTTTATTAACAAATAAAATTATATCAAAAAATTAATTTGATTATAATTTTAATAAGAAACAGTATAATTAAAGAAATAAATTTTAAACAATTAGAGTAAAAATTGAAAAAAAAATATAAGAAAATAAGTAATAGTGAAAATTTAAAAAAAAAAAGACAAAGAAAACAAAAGCTAAGATTGAGTAGTATGGTGTGAAGGTAAAGTAAATCATCGACCAATATGAAAAAAAGAATGATCGATTTTTAAAAATTTTAATCCTCAATCAAATGAAAAAAGAACATAAATTGATGAAAAAAACGGACATATAATGCATCATTCGGGGATTAAAATTTTAGGTATTAGAATGAAATAATTTGAAATTTTGAAAAGAAAAAAACCTATGAAAAAAAAGCTAAGGGTGAAAAAAAATAAAAACGAAATAATTTAATTTAAAAAAAAACTAAGAAAATAAGTAAGAGTGAAAATTAAAAAAGAAGGAAAAAAAAACCAAGATTGAGTAATATAGTTGATCGTAAAGCAAAAGTAAGGAAAAAAAATTATATTGTTCAAATGAACAGTAGCCTCTTCACTCTCTCTCTCTCTCTCTCTCTCTCTCTCTCTCTCTATATATATATATATATATATAATTAGAATTTATAAATTACAATAATATATTTTAAAAAATAAAAAACTAATTTAAAAAGCATAAAAATAATTTATTGCATAAGTTATAATAATATATTTAAAAAAACACCGACGTTCTAAACTTTTATTAACAAATAAAATTATATAAAAAAATTTATTTTATTAGAATTTTAATGAGAAACAAATAATTGAAGAAATAAATCTTAAACAATAACGAGTAAATTTTAAAAAAAAACTAAGAAAATAAGAAAAAAAGTAATAGTGAATTTTTTAAAAAATAAAATAAAAAAGCTGAGATTGAGTAATATAGTATGAGGGTATAGTAAATTATCAACCTATTTGAAAAAAAAATAACGATCAATTTTTAGAAATGTTAACACTCAGTCAAATAAAAAAACATAAATTGATGAAAAAAGAACTGAAAAAAAAAAGACATATAGTGCATCGGCTAGGAATTAAAATTTTTATTTTAAAATTCTAGGGATTAGAATGAAATAATTCAAAAACTTTAAAAAAAAACCTAAGGAAAAAACATAAGGGTGAAAATTAAAATGAAAAAAAAAATGAAATCATTTAAAATTAAAAAAAAGTAAGAAAATAAATAAGAGTAAAAATTAAAAAAGAAGAGGAAAAAAACTCAAGCAAAAAAAAAAAAAAGAAAAGGTTCAAATGAATAGTACCCACGTGATGGTTCACTTTTCATTTACTTGTTCATACTAATTATAATACTATATTTTTAAAAATAAAACACTCATTTAAAAAGTATAAAAATAATTTATTGTATAAACTATAATAATATAATTTAAAAAACACGGACGTTCTAAAATTTTATTAACAAATAAAATTATATTAAAAAATTAATGTGATTAGAATTTTAATAAGAACCAAATAAGTGAAGAAATAAATTTTAAATAATAAGAGTAATTTAAAAAAAAACTAAGAAAATAAGTAAAATGTAATAGTGGAAATTTAAAAAAAGAAAAAGAAAAAAAAACAAAGAATGAGTAGTATAGTGTGAGGGTAAAGTAAATCATCGATCTGTTTAGAAAAAAATAACGATTGAATTTTAAAAATTTTAATATTCAATCAAATAAAAAAAGAACATAAATTGATAAAGAAAAAAACCAAAGAAAAAAAGACATATAGTGTCTTAGCTAGGGATTAAAATTTTTATTTTAAAATCTTAGGGATCAAAATGAAATAGTTTGAAAATTTAAAAAAAACCTAAAAAAAAAAAGTAAGGGTGAAAATTAAAAAGAAAAAAAGGAAATGATTTAATATTTAAAAAAAAAACTAAGAAAACAGGTAAGAGTGAAATTAAAAAAAGAAGGAAAAAAACTCAAGCAAAAGCAAAAAAATTTAAAAAACAAAAATAAACAGTACCCATGTGATGGTTCACTATTTATACTATTCATTGTAACAGTGAAACCATTACCTGTTTTAGATATATAAAGAATAAAGAATATTAATTAAACCTTAAAACTGAAGCTAGTGTCGTACTTTTTCTCAATTTTTATAACGTTTTTCAACTTTTTAAAATATTATATTTATTAAAATAATATTAGTTTTAATTTTAAATCAGATTATATTTATTAAAAAGTTTTTCAACTTTTTCAAGTCTAATTAGTACTCTAAATTACCCAGTTTTTAGATATTAGTGACTCTAAAATGTGTACTTCAATCTTTGTTAAAGTTACTTATAGGAATTGACAAGTTTATCCCTTTGGCATCAAGATAATTTCCAGCTCCTGTTTACGAAGCAAAAGCTTTTTAACCAAAAATTTGCGAGGTCAATTCAATACAGCAAACAGACCATCTCTAAACACTACTCTGAGCAAAAACAAGGGAAGGAGAAAGATCTTTAGTGGTCTTCAGAGACCATTCCTACCTGCCACACTACGAACACTGAAGAAATCTTTCATATGGAATAGAAACTCCCATAAAACATGTATGCTGATGGTAGTTAACAAATTCACCACTAAGACAAATGAAACCAAACTACAACTCTATCCTAAAAACTCTATGCTAAAAATTGTATAATGTGATAGCAAACGACCCAAAAATTAGCAGGCACTTGCAACCACATTTGGGACAACCTTGTTTTCAGATGATATAGCGGATGTAGCATCGTTGGCAGAGTTTTCAACAGTTGAATCGGATCCATTCTCATCTTTCACATTCACCTCTCCATTTGTCTCCACCGATTCGAGTGGTGAAACACCAACTGGTTCATTCATGGAGGCCGTTTCTGTTTGCAAACTCTCTTTTCCCATCAGTGCGGCAGGCTTCCCTTCCGAAATCTGTTAAATGAAGCTTTACAAGCTCAATCAACAACACAATGGCATTTAAAAAACATCTATACTAGATCCACAACACAGTAAAGATTCAGAGTAAAACTATGAAAAAAAAGCAAATCTTGCCTGCTTTTGAATATTTTGCTTGGCCCTTTTTTCCTGCATGATTCTTTCACGAGCTGCATAAAAACTAAAATCATCCAGGATCGACGTTTTTCCCCTGTGATCCTTGAAAATTTTAAGAATTTGAATACCCTTCTCAAAGATGACCTATCAACAGCCACAAACATACAAAATTAAATAGGAGGTAGAAAACATGGTCAATAGCCAATCACAATGCACACATAAAGAAGGATGGTGGGGGTTTGGATGGATGAAAGAAAGACGGAGGGAAGAAAATCATCTATTTACCTCCTGGGTATCCCTACTATTGGTCACGGGCTTGTTCTCATTGTTTTCAAGTGTTATATGCCTCAAACAACCATTTGGAACATCCTTAATAATATGCCACTTCAAAGGAAAGCAACCAGTCCACTTGTCCTGCTGCCAATACTCCACAGTTTTGTTAAAATCAACAGGCCCCATCATCTCTGCCAATCCAACAAATTGCCCACTGGTGTTGACCTTTAAAAAAAATGAAGAAGAAATATTCAAGATTAAAACTAGGAAATATGTCAATTGATAAACTCAGCTTGTAGGTGGGACAGCACTAATACTCACTGAGAATAACAGAAACACAGGACAGCCACCAGCATTCTCTTTGGCCTGTTTATAAGCAGCATCCAGCTTCTTATTACCATTGGGAGTGCTTGTCCACACACTATATTTGATGCTCTTATGGACATCATCTTCGCTGAATGATTTAATAACAAAGAACTTTGCATCTGAATAATCCCCAGGAAAGTCTTCTCGATTGTACTGTTCCCTGTCTGGAATTTGGGGCAGATTCTCCTCATTACTCTCAGACAATGGAAAGTTCTGCCCCTCTACTGTTTGTGTGACAACCCCAAATTCCTTGTGGTTCCTGAAACTCTTGGCCCTTGGTCCTCTATTTAGCTCATTCAAACCATCCCTGTTCTCATATCCATAGCCATGGCCCCTAGATTTGTACTTGTTATCAACAACCACCCACCCACGTCCGTTTGTCCAGGAGTTGTAGGCATAAGATCCAAAATCTGTACCAACTCTGCTTCCATATTGACCATACATCCTGTTTCCATATTGACCATATGTCCTGTTTCCGTATTGACCATACATCCTGTTGTTTGGGTACACCAAGTTCATGTACCCAGATGCTTGGCCCATGCCAGATATTGGTCTAATAGGATGAGTATTCTGAGAGTAGATCAATAAACCAACAATAATTAAACAATCCTGGAATAGTCCAAATTGGAAACTACAAGAGAACACAAGAACTATCATACGTTGAACTTGACCAAACCTAAACAACATAAAACAACCAAATAATAGAGACAAATCAGAAAACTTTTCTTAGTTGTATATATATTCCACGTCTCCTGGGGATTGAGAACCCTTACTTCAAACCAAAATCAAAAGGCTTCTATAACTATATCAGCAACTCCAAGTATAAATAAATAATCAAATAAATAAGATCGAAATGAAATACAACAATAATTTGATTTGCAAAAACATGTAAATAACATTAAGCTTGGCACTATAATTTGGTAGACAGCTAGTTTACACATACCAGTGGTGATGAGTATCCTGCACCACTTGCATGTCCGTTGCTTCTATTTACACTTCCAGCATTCACTTTGTTATTGGGGTTTCTTGTAGGAGTACCAGCAGGAAAGGGCACTTTGTCAGCTGCATCTGAAGATGCTACATGCACTTGAGAATGATTGGACTGATTAGAGGGGTAGAACAAGCCTGCAGAAGTTGAAGGCTGGTAAAAGGAACTGGGATACTGGTATTGCTGAGCACCATATAACTGGGCATCATATGCCATGGTAGGAATGGATGAATTTGGTGAGGGATATGTTCCAAAAGGGGCATAACCATAGCCTTGGTTGTACATGAAGGTTCCATTATCGCCATAGACATCCTGCCAATAGAAAACAAAAGGTTTCAGCCATAAGCTAACTGATTGCTATTGCTTGCTTCCAGTTTCACAGATTATACCCTCAATACTCTGCAACGTATAAAAAATGCAATCAAGCTAATGAAGTTCAGACATAATTACAACCAGCAATAAACATTATCAAAATAATTCAGACATAGTAGCAACCAAACACTAACTCCAAGTAAAAGAAGATTCATGGCCAATACTAGATGCTCTTGAATTCAAAAGTGAGAGACTCTCTCCTTCGTATGGTGGAAAGGGTGATTCAATAACACACATTGTTCTAGACCGATATCCAGCTTAACAACCTCTTAAACCATTGCTCAGCACTCTTAAATACAGCATCACCAATAATAAACAAGAAATAACCGCAGCCATTCTTGAGTTTGAAGTTGAAACATTAAATTTTTTTGTCTTACTCTAGCGTAGCCATCATAGACTGAAGAATGAACATCTTTAACAAGATTGATATTGATCCGGAAAATTACAGTTGTTAATCGCTTGACCTGCTTAATTAACTTAAATACCAATTTGAGGAGACCTTGCAGGGCAAAATACTCATACGCGTCTTACCTCCATTATATGCAATCGACGGAGACCCTTTAGGGACATAGAACGCATTTGGGTCTACATGATGAGGCATGGTAGACCGCTGTGATGGCTTGGCTGTATTAGTAGCCAAGTCACTTGATCCATATTGACTAGTAGAAGGCTATACCAATCAGACAAAATTTCATAAAGATTGGAATCTTAAAAATCAAGAGTTGAAATTCCAAGTTACCATTGTAGCAGGTGCAGGATTTCCAGAAGTCTTGGTCTGAGGATCTATTGACAAGTTCTCTAGTAAACCTGCAGCTTCTGTGAGAGTATAAGTGAAGGAACAACAAAATAAGAGTCGATCAAACATGCCAAGAAGCATTCATCCCAAAATAACAGAATAAACAAAAAGTCTCGGTCTTTATCCTTTGAAGGCACAGCTAGCATGATTGACATCATCCCAAAGCACATATAAAATACAATTCTCGTTTAGGGAAATATCATAACCATAAAGTATAAACCCCATACTTATAGGATGGTTCAAAAGCTTAACAGAAAATGCGAAACTCATCCATTTACAAATTTCACATTCACATCCATGAAAAACCCAACATCAAAAAAATTCTTAAAGGTTAAGTATTAATTAGAAAAGTAGAAACTTGAAGTCCAAATTCCATTCATAAATATAAACCCTCGCAAAAACCCACAACACAAATACCACCAAAAAAAAAAAAAAACAACGTCGACACCATTTCAATCAACCAAATCACCATATATGCACACAGAATACATCAAAAATCAAGAAGTTACAAATTTAAACAAAAAATTGATTCAAGAATGTATCTTTATTGACTTTTCCTAATCTACACATAAAACCAAACAAAACCCATGTTCCAAAGACCCCAAAAGCATAGAAAAAACAATTAAAAGAACGAATCACAATTCTTTCAAAGACCAAGTAGCACTAGAACACTCCGAATCTTGAAAAAAAAAAAAAGAAAGAAAAGAAAAGCAAAGAGTACCAAGATGAGAGGAGTTGGTAAGGATACTATCAGTAGCAGAAGGAACAGCAGCCATGATGTTCTTGATGAGATATAGATTGAAGGAGAGATAGAGAAACCTTTGGAGGCGAGTTTCGGGTGTCCAGGTTTTTTAGGTCAAGTAGTAAAAGAAAGAACGAAAAGAAATGAAATGAAATGAAGAGAAAGAAAGGCTTGGAGAAGGAGGTAGCCGCTAAAACCCCTCCAAGACTTAGGGTTTTTTATTTATTTAAAAGACAACAGAATAGCTACCAAGCAACGTTGTGTGTGTTTCAATTGCACCACGACTACTTCTACATTTATATCAGATTTTTCCTTTTCTTTTTTTCCCTCTTCTAGACGGAGAAGATTAAAGGATGAAAAAGTAAAACAAGATACGCACGTGTATATGTCATAAATGGTACTTTTGAACTTGAACGTAATTATCACTCAAATCCATGTTTACCATCAAATCTTTGTTTCAGCTTAATTCTGGGCTAGCTTTTCAAGTCTTGGGCCTAGCCTTTCCTTCTTAAATTTAGTTTCTAGTAACATGTTTTTTGCCCTTTATGTTGAATAAATTATAAATTAGTCCTTCTTGTTTAGAGAAATGAATTAATTAGTCTCTTTTCTTTCAAAAAATAATTACTTAGTTTCTTACGTTTTAATTTACGTTAATAATTTAGTCTTTTTATCATTTTTCATTAGATTAATGATTTTTATTTTCAAATTGTTCTTTTTTTAATTTTTGGTTGAGAATAGAGGAAAGGAATAGATAATTGACATAAATAAGGCATTAGATAAAAAAAGCAATTTGCAAAAAAAAAAAAAAAAAAAATCAATGATCTAACAGACAAACTAAATTATTGAAGAAATTAAAACATAAGAGACTAAAAGATTAGTTTTTAAAATGAGATGGACTAATTAATTCATTTCTTTAACAAGAGGGATTAATTTATGATTTACTCGTATTTACAAGTACATACACCATTGTTGGGAAATGTTGCAAGCAGTTATATGAGATTTTAAGTTCTGGCTTCAAGCATTATATATATCAAATACAAATTTCGCCTCTGCTTGCACAGATTAAAAACAATAGATGTATTCAAAAGTAAAAAAATTGTTAGCCCAAGCCTGACCAATCCTGCAAGCATCCATTAAAGAATCACTCACTACCTTCTGCACTACAATACATGAATTATGCAAAACAGTTAACATGCACTGCTGCTCACAATTCGCTGCTTGGCGATGACTGGATAAACTTACCTAAACTCCATAGTTTTAAGTTTATTCGTGTCTCTCTCGAACGGAAAATCATCTAGCTTCATTTGCAAGTGCTAATCCTCAGGAATCACAAAGATGATTCGGCCCTTTCTCCTTCAACTTTCTCCGTAGAGGTTGACACTTTGAGAGAGAACAAAATTTGGATGGCTTCTTCCCTGTTCTTTTACTTCATTTCTCCGTCTTTAACCCTATTTTACTTCTCCCTCCATCATTTAAACTTTAATCATGTAGCATTTGAATGAGAAAAGGATTAGGAAGCATTGGATACTGTCATGTCAAACTGTTTATATACATTTCATTTCCTCCTCTCCTTTCGATAACATGATGGTCAATTTTTTCCTGTATTCAAAGGCATTGATTGGCATCTTAACTTTCTCTCTGTCCTGCACTATTAAGCTATAAATAATAGCATGATGCACTAGCCAAAAGAGAAAGCATCAGCCATGCGAAACACATGGGGGCTTTTGCCTGTGCACACTTCTAATGATTATGCTTATACTCGCATAAATACCACAAATAAACAGTTCCAGTTGATTCTATAAAACAGGACCTTCTTCTCCTTATTACTCTTTTTTCTTCTTCTTTTCAACCGTCTCATGTAAATCTAAGTTATGTTACTGGTAAAAATGTGATAAGTTCAACCCTCAACTGGAAGATTAACAGTCCTCGTAACTTTAGCAGCATCCTCGGGGAAAAAAAAAATTATATAACAACCAGTTCCAATTTCAAACCCCACCAATCCCACTTACTTGAGGTACTGTCTCTAAAAACCAGTGAGTATAACATAAATTCTGATTCTTTAACTTGAATGGGAGAAGTCTGGATCATGAAGTTTAAATGGCGGTTTGTTCAAGTGCAGAGACATCTTCCTAAGCATGAGCTTCAGCAATCAGCCGAGATCAACCATCTGCTGAATTGCACATAAATCAGGATAAAATGACCATCATGGAAAAGGACCTTACTAGGTGCAATAAAATGTACATCTTATACTTCACTGAGAAAAACAGGTAAGATAGAAATTCTAAGCATCTAGTCATAGTCTATTGATTTATCATAATCATCATTGTAAGCCACACAAGCAAGGTAAGTTATCATGAAATACACATCCACATTTGATCTGATTTTATCTCGTTAATCTATTTTTAAGCATTCCATCAGATAACAACTTACTTTTTCCCAAATAAATATAAAGACTCCTTATTAGCTTTACAATTGTCTCTGTACTAAATAGTTCTTTTTATTTCTGAAAAAAATAAAAATAAAAATTCTTTTCTTCGGAAAAAATGATACCAATAATTATAAAAAACGAAAAAGATCCAAAGACACCTTTCAAACATACTCGTTCAACATAAGATTCCTTCCTATTTTTTACAGGTTTTATGGTTTGGGCTAAACTGGCACAGGACCATAATTGCCCCAAGCTAAGCCACATTAGAACCTGAATTCTGGGTTCAACAAAATCAAGATGTACCACCCTTGTTTCTCACTGTGGTTTAAATGTGAAGTAACTAACAAAATAATCTAAAGTTTTGCACGTGTATGTAATTATTGGTCACTCTTTGCACACCGTTTACCTCTTCACCAAGGGATGGAATTAATTATTAAAATTCTGATATAGTAGATGTCCACCAAAATCAAATTAAAAAAGTCAGCAATATCAGGTTTTATTTAAAAACCTCTACAAAATAAAAGATTCAAGTTGTAGAGAGTAGAACCAATAACTGAAAATTACCTTCTCATGATCAAGTTCGTGGAAATGAGAGGAGTGAACCCTGGGAATAATCCAAATCTCAAAAGAGAATGTGGCAGCAAAAGTATCAATGGAGATGAAATGGGTCAATTCATCAATCGAAATTTCTTTTGCTCAAACTTCACATAGACTACATTTTCCGGTCTTTTCATTCATGCCCTCGAGTCAAGCAGAATCCGATGAAGAACTAATGGGAAAAGCCAGTATCTGGCTATGAAAATGACTGGTCAATGCTCTAGCAGATGCATCATGGTTTTTGAACACCTTAAAGTGTAAAACAAAGACGATTGTCGGTTCAATCATATCAATGCAAAAGAGAAACAAGTTCACATGCAATTTAACATCACAGGAAAAGAATGCAGATGAGATTGCACAAACACGCATACATGCAGCTGCAAATTTCATGGGTTTAACTTTAGCAAAGTCTCTTTTTAATTATGTTGGAAATGAGAACACATGGCAAAACAGAAAATTTCCAAGATGGTGAAACAATGCTAGTTACTATTGAAATTAGAAGGTTGCTCGGTTATGTGCATTAACAACAACAGAAAAACAAAAGCAAACGCATAAATGAAGCAACTGAGCTTCAAATGACAAGACAATATGAACTGTGTAAACATAAATAAACAGAAAGTTCAGAGCTTGTTAATGTTCACTGTTTTGTAACAAATTAAAAGACAGATAAACCCATAAGAGCACAGCAAACAGAAATATTTAAAAACAAAAATGCCCAAAAAAAAATGAAATATAACTTTGCAGAATGACCAGAAATATACACGCCTGTTGCCCACTAAAGGAGCAATAGAACCACAAGTCCATGAAACATCATGTACTATCTAGATTAAATTATTATCATCATCATTCAGAGCCTCAAAAAACTTCATCTCTAAACTAATATTTACTTTACATTCTTAGACCAAAAAAAAAAATCACAACTTGACTTGTTTTGCTACAAATTTAAGATGCAAGAAAAAAAAACATTACCAAAAATATAATGATAAATAACGAAAAATCTACTCGTAGTTGAACAAATGGCCCAGAAGAAATCCATAGTAATCAATTAAATAAAAAGCCAGGACCAAAAAAGACACAAATTCACAAAAAATAAATAAGTAAATAAAAACAGCCTGGACGTATTTAGTGGATTTCAACGCTAATAATACGCGGAATCCTCTTCTCATTGGCAAGAAAAACTTGCCTGATCTCACTCGCCTCCATATCTCACAGCTGAACAGAATGAACCGGATTTTCTGAAACCCGAAACCGCCCATGACCAGACCGAGAAAACCCGTATCCTGCTTTTCCTCACATGGGCACTCGAGATTTCTACTCAGGGCGGGGTAGAGATTCTCTATGACTGAGAGTTTCCAATTCGGGTCGGGCGGGACACGGAAAATTTCAGGCACACGCTCGTTGCCGAAGCAGAAAGGGCACGAGGTTTTTGGTTTGAAATCAGTGGGTCTTTTTGCACGAGCAGGTGAGAAAATGACCCATCGATTTGTTACTGGGTCGTACCTGAGTTCGGAGCTCCGATCCGCTTTTTGACATTTCTTTGTGGATTTACTTTGAGAAAAATTATAAATTGGTCCTCTAATTTTGAGAAATGAATTAATGATTTTTTTTAAGCTATTCATTTAATTTTCATATTTTAATTTTCCATCCTTTTCGATTTATTTTATTTTTTATTAAAAATAAAAAGAGAAAAAGTAATTAAAATTTATGAAAAGATCAATTAAAAAAGATATTTAATTGTGGGAGAAGAACAGAAGTGGAATAACCTACCTCCAAATTGCATTAAGCACATCTTTTTTATTTTCCTTTTTTTCAGAGAATCTTAATCATAATTAATTAATCTTGTAGATTAACTCGAAATGGTTGGGGTGGTTAAAGAGGCATCTTATTTCCTTAACTTCCTTGGTTTTAACTTCAGGATCAACATTTAGAAAAAATTATTAAATTTTTTTAATGTATTAAGCTGATGTGGGGATGTGTCCTTTGAAATTACTCAGGGACGAGACTTTGTC